AAATAAGCAATCCCAGCTCAGGTGACAAAAAGTAAGGCAAAACTAATGTAATGCATTACTTTCCATAAAAAGCAACTTAATTAATTAACTAACGCAATGGAATAACGCAATATTGTAATGCATTATAAATTCATACGAATTTGGAAGAATAGTTATAAATTGCCATGAGACTGTGTTGGTATATAGTAGTCAACATTTGAAGTGGATCAAAAAAGTTCATCAAAGTCAACGCATTTTGGTTTTAGGTTTTAGGACAACTTTGATGAAAGGTTTTGATCCACTTCAAATGTTGACTACTGTAGTTCAACTAAATATGAAAATCCTGTCTTCATTTATTCACCCTCATTTTGTTCTAAACCCATAAGACTTGCGCTCATCTTCAGAACACAAATTAAGATATTTTAGTATTCTCTCGTGATTGCAACCCATCCATTGAAAGACCATGCAACCACAACCGTCATGCATCAAAAAGCACAAAAAACATTGTAAAAGCAATCCATATCCATAATTGAGTGGCTTAATCAAAGTCTTCTGAAAAAATATGATCGCTTTATATATGTATATTTTCTTGTATGTCATGCAAGTGCATATCAGCTTCCATTTACCGTATTTGATGTGCTGTTTGTATGTGCGTTGATCAGTGTTTATATATGATAAAACTATTCAATTCAAAAGGATGTCTTTCTGTACTTTTTGAAGCATGCAAAGGGTTTCCATGGACTTTCAATGGATGGGCAAAAATGATGAGAGAACATTAAAAATCATCTTCATCAGTGTTGCGAAGATGAACGAAAGTCTAATGGGTTTGGAACGAGTAATCCGTAAATGATGAGAGAACTAACCCTTTGACATGATTTTAGTGGGAAAAATAAATCTCTTATAAACCCTTTCTGCGTAAAGTTCCACCCCAGTGTACGATGTTTGCATGACAGCAGAACATCATAAACCCTAAAACTGTTGTAAAACTGATGATTGAAGGAGATTTACAGCTCAAATAATACACACGTTTTAACAGAAGAATTAAAGCAAGTACTTTTGTAAAACTATAAACTTTAATATTATAATATGGCCCCATCACTTCCGTTATCTCCGCTATTTATTTATTTATTTAGTTAGTTAGTTAGTTAGTTAGTTAGTAAATAATTACCATCATGTCAAAAATGTAGTCCCAACCTACTAAAACAGGCAAAAAACATCCCATAGACTTGCACTGATAGAGGAACCCAAGCCATATCGAGTCCTGAATATCACTGAGACTTGGTGAGCTGTAATATTGGACTAATATTGCTTGGTGTTTAAATATGGATAAGCTTCTACAAGGCTTTTGAGGCTTTAGAATACGATGAAGCCGTTTTCACATCTTCAGTTCAGACAGAATATAATCATCTTCCTGGATTGTGTCTTTTTGTGTAAATCTGAGCAAGGACAACACCGCTTCAATAAAAATGAGAGGACAATGTGCAGGTTTTGAAGGCCCATTGACGTCCGTGGGGTTACCGGCTCACAGAAAAACAAATCGCAAGCTCTCGCTCACAGCTGAGCCCATTGCTCAAAACAATGGGAGAACTCAGTAATGGTTACAATAATTAAATGCATGTGGATGAACTGTAAATCATACAGCCAGTTATTTTTAAACAATATTCATCAATATTCTCAAGGGGGGTGAATTCAGAAAGGTCATAAAATCTCTCATTAACAAAGACCTTGGTAATGTGCTCATATGAACATGAAGACCAGGAAATGGGATATGATGAATCTTAGTAGATTAGAGGAAGACTGTCCCACTCTCTCTCATTGATCAGAAGGGTCTCCCGCCCCCACAGCAATCGCTGCTACTCATGAAACACTCTGAAAGGAACCAAATGCTCTTGAAATGCTAACAAATCAAGTTCCTTTTCATTCAAATGTATCCACAGTTACACAATGATTACACAATAATACAGAACATGTAACTGTGACATAACCTGACTCAACATCATCCCCACAAGCATTCCCTGAAGAAATGCTAACATCTAAATTAACCAGATTTAAGTCAAAAATAATATTTAACAAACGATTCAACATAAATACATTAATTAATACCAGCAAAACTTTCATGTTTCTCATCCTTTTCATGGTTCAGTGGATCAGGTAGAAACTGTTATTTTAGTACCATTGATATACTATTATAATTTTTGTTAATATTTCAAATTAGATTCTGCTTTCATGTTAATTTCAGTTAAAGTTTTTGTAATTTTATTTTTGTTTTTAAATGTGTCCATA